GTTCAAGACTTCTGACCGTCAAGCCAACCCTTATTAACCTACTGCTGTGGCGTGCAGGTGTCCTACAACGCAAACGTCAAACCTGGGCAGAAGCATCTCCGCTCGTTGGCTGGTGGTGGAGCCCGGCAGGGACCCTCTGCCGCACGCATCTGCAGATCTCCCTCCAGCAGCTGCAGCCACCCAGAAAAACCATAAAACTCCCACCATGCTCCTGCGACAGAAACCCCACTGTGGGTGCAAAGACGACATTCCTGAGCTTCGCTGCACGGGGCCACCGCTCTGACATCCGTGGGCAAAGAGCTGCTTGGAAATGCTACGCGCCGTCACAACCTTTTTCCCTCTAAATTGCAGGATTTTCCACCGAAGATGAATGCTGTAGGTAGCAGCTGCTCCTCCACGCACGTCCGGAAAGCACGTGGTGTCCCGCCAGACCAGAGCACGCGTCTTCCACGCAGACCCGACTCTTGAGTCCCCAGGGAACCCCCAGATCCAACGTCCCGTTCGCAGGGAAGCGGAGGCAGGTAGGGGTTAAGCGGGCTGAGGGGCTCTCCTGGGCCAGCCGAGGTAGGAATTCAGCAGCCTGGCTCCCAGGACGTCTTCATTTCATTAATCCCCATTTAATAGGGCACTTAATCCTCTTTCTAAGAGAGAATTCTGGGGGTTGGCAGTTTCCTCTTTCCTAGGAGGGTAGGAGATGAAAAAAACCCCACCCAACAGATCAATGGAGGAACTGGTTTTTGATGGAAGGTCACCTTCACGTACCAGCCCCAACCAACCAGCGGCAAAGCCCATGGTATGTGCCCCGTATTCCTGCAGTTTTTCTCAGCTTTACACAAGTTATCTGCCTTCATTCGAATTCTTCCAAGGCAGATTTTTTTTTTTTTCTTTTTTCTCCTGGGGGAAAAAGTCTTTATTTGACATGCAAATAATTTTTTTTTGTACAGAAAATCAGCTGTTATGGATGTGAGACTTGCTCAGCCTCTCGGCGCTGCTGCCTGCACGATGTGCAAACCAACGCTCCCGGCTGCGGTTCATCAACCTCCCCCTTGATTTTGGCACCTTCATCTCGGAGCAGAGCATGCTGGTGTGGTCGCACCTGTAAAAAACGTCTTCCCATCAGCCTGTGCCTGCAGGGACATTCCTCTCTTTGGAGATGGGACCATCCTCAGACCCAAGCACCGGGAGATATCTAGTCCTGCTCCTCCTCTGCAGTACTCACCCTGATTTTTTATGATTTTTGACTGATTTGGTGTATCCATATCCCCTGGGTAGGTGTTTCTCTCTCAGTGCTTTTCTCTCCAAGCAACCAATTTCACATTGCTGTCTGCACAGAAGGGTTGTGACTTCTCACTCCCTCGGTCCTCCCATTTCACATTTTCTCCAGCAGAAAATCTCTGGCTCTTCCATGAAAGAAACTGGTGTCTCAAGGTGCCATTTTACAACCTCTTTAAACCCATCTAAGACCCCACTGCCTCCAAATGTCTCGCCCTGTTCCCCTTCCAACCCTGTTGGGGCAACAGCCGATACGGTGGGGTTGATCTCGCCGAGAACAAGCCGATTACCGTCAGCTAGGATCAGCTCAGCAACATGGCTGAAAATAATTCACTGCAGAACATGACTGGTGAAACACAAGGAGATGGCAGGGAGGGATGGTCGGGGGCGGCATCGAAATTCCCCAGCGGCAGCATGGACCTAGATCACTTTACGCTGCAAAGGAAACCAAACCCTCAGCTCTGCAGATTTGGTATTTTTCAGAAAAAACCCTCTGAGCCATTGCTGTCCAGCCAGAGCACTCCTCTAAAGGTCTGCTATTCCCACCAGAAAATCCAATGTGTCTTTTTTTTGGAGACTCTAAGTATTCATGGCTAACTCTTCCCATGGACTAGTGCCACACGGAAGCCCAAACATTGAATATTCAGATTTTTGGACTGTAAGACATCCGTATTTATTTGCATGGGACTTGCAAAGTCAGTTCCATCACGCCTTGCAGTGCCTACCTGGACACAGGACCGGTGGGGGCCAGTGAAGCAACGCTAAACAGGATTCCTGGGGTGTATTTCGAGCCGTGAGATGAAGTCAGCGTGGCTAACAGCCAGCTGCTGATCCACTTCCACTCATTTTGCTTTCTCTTAAGTAGAAATAGAGATTGTACTTCTCTTTATTGAGCTTAAAGACGTAGAAGCCTGGAAATGGAGATGCATTTGCATGCTACTTTCACCTCGGATCAACAAGTTGGGTACTTATGCTCTGAATTACTCCACACTTTCTAAGAGTCCAAATTGATTATTTCGTGCTGGACAGAGATAGGTGTGTTACGAAATCACTTTTCACAGAGAATTTCCCATCTGATCACACGTCTAGCGCTGCACAGAACCTCTTCAAAGCACTGTACGGCCACTAATAACCATCAACGAGGCTGAAAGGTATCATCAGTATTTTGTTGATGGGAAGAGAAGACAAGAAAAGTGACAATTCTTCCCTGTGAGGGTGCTGAGGCCCTGGCAGAGGGTGCCCAGAGAAGCTGTGGCTGCCCCTGGCTCCCTGGCAGTGTTCAAGGCCAGGTTGGATGGGGCTTTGGGCAACCTGGGCTAGTGGAGGGTGTCCCTACCCATGGCAGGGGTGGCACTGGATGGGCTGGGAGGTCCCTTCCAACCCAAACCAGTCTGGGGTTCTATGAAAACAATTTAGATTTAGGTTTTAGATTTAGAATCCCAGTCTGGGATTCTATGAAAAGAAGTTCAATCTGGGTTTATACAAAGGTCACGGGCTGCCAGGAGCAGCAGCTCAGGCTCAGTCCTACAACCTGAGGATGTATCTCCTTGCTTCGGGATATCGGGGGAAATTCTCAGTCTCAACAGGAGAGAAAAAATATGATGTATGCTCTAAAAATTTGCCGTCAGCACAGGGAGCAGCGTAGGTCCATCTCGCTTCAACCTTGGGACTGGACGGACCAGGGAAGCAAATTTCACTTTGCTTCTTTGGCCAAGTTTGCCAGCTCCTCTCTTCTGAAATAATCCCATGAAGAGGATCCTTCCCACACCTGTTCTTTGTTCAGCGCCCAGCATCCTATTTCTTGTCTCTAAAAACGTGGACCTGCAAAATCGGGCACGCTAATCTTTGGGAACTGCATTTGGTGGTCCCCAGCAATTATTGCCGTGCTCCAGAAGCAGGTCTGAAAACACACTGATGGATAGAGACACGTCGCAGAATCAAGGGGTCTGAAGAGATCCTGGGAAAGCATAATACGCATATTCTGGTACGTTGACTTCTTCAATTACTGGCATTTTCGATGGGAAATTAGTCCTCAAAAAGAAGAAGAAATCCTCTATCGTGTCTAGATTCAGACTCGTAGCTTGGGGGTGGATTTTTTGACATTCACGATTCTTTTTAAGGGTGACAGCGAGGAACTGAGCAGGTGCAGACTGGAAGGGACAAAAAACCCACCTCAAACAAGCTGATATTGGCAAACAAACAAAGCAGATACACGCCTACCTTCCACCTTTGATTATTTTTTGTCTAATTTAGATCATAAGCTCCAGGGCTCAAAACCTGTCGGGAAGCATGATGAAAACAGCACATTTGACAGCTGTAAATTATTCCGCTCACCTAGTTCATGGTTCTCTGTTTTCCCTTGAAACAAGGACAGAATAAACCAGCAAAATATGGATTTGGGCTACCTGAGGTTTTGTGTTTGTACAGTAAGGACATCCCCTAAAATCTACTTTTTGTTCTAAAACAGAAGCCTTGCCTAGACAAGAAAAATCCCATCACCCAAAGCTGTGAATTTAATCAAATATGGTAAAAATGAATGCAAGCCCTTTTCAGAACATACCGATTTTGAGTCATTTTTTACTGGCTAGATTAAATAAGTTTGGTTTAAACTGTAGCAAGCTACTCCGGAAGCAAACGAAGCACCCTATAAAGTTTGTACTAACACAGTCGTACTTATTTAGAAAATACTTAAACAAAACTTTGCTTAGCAGGCACAACCTACATCCGTGGATAGCCGCGCAGAAGTCAGTCAACCCACCTTTTCCCCGACCTCACACCTGAGAGAGCGAGGTAAGTTAACTTCCCTCATTGCGCTGCTAATTGTAAAGCACTTTGAAGGTAAAAGGGCTGTGTTCACACCAAGCCTTAACTGCTAAGTTAGGTCTAAATTCAGGAGGAAAGCGCAGACCAGCACTAAACCCTCTTCCTTCTTTCTAGATGGGAGCTACCCATGCTTCAACACGCGCCGAGCATTTTACAGTCGGCCCCATCTCACCATGTTGGGCTGCCATCCTTCGACGTTGACGCAGCGATCGATGCACCACCAGAAGTCGTCTTCGGATTCTCCCTTCCAGGCGAAGACGGGGAACCCTGGCACAGAGAGGGAGACGGGTGCTAACACAGCCTTAGCAAATCCCTTGGGGATCGGCTCTCCCTACGTCCACGCGTGATGAACCGGGCTCCCGACACCACTGCGGTCTTGCTTGCAGTCTGATTTTTCAACATCTACCTTCTAGAAGAAGCTTCAGAGATATACATTGAAGACACACACTGAAGGCAGCAGACAGGACTCAGCTTTAGCCTTCCTAATTTCTTCCTCTCCCCCAAGAAAAACCTCCAGCCACCACACAGGAGGGCAACGCGCTCTCAACGATAACATTTATTTGCAAAATCAAGCATTTGCTGCAAGTTAGACGTCCCACCTTCCTGTTAGGCTCGTTAGCCATAAATTTACTTGAATGTATTGTGACTCATGAGCAATTATTATTCTGCTTCGGTGAGCAAGAACAGGTAACGGGCAAGTCAGTTGGGTCTGGCTTCTCCTGGGTCTCCCAGTTCTCCCAGGTAAAACAGGATTTAAATTAATGCATCTCCCAGTTCTCTCTCTCACACCTCTTAGCCAAAGTTACAACTCCAATTTACAGAACTCAAATTAAATTTAAGTTAGTTTCTTTTTGCAAAATAACTTTCAGGCTCCCACAGCCCTGATGGCTAATAATGTGCATCACCGTCATTTGTCCTTTCACACTCAAGAGAAAAATCATTCTAAGATTTTCACACCATTGGAAGAGATTGATCTTGTGCTGTTTACCTCCTATCAATTTATTCTAAATTGAAGAGCATGAAGGAAAAAAAAACTATTAAGACATGGTAAATGAGTTAAACATGACAGCACAGTAAGAAATCTTTTTAAAACCAGAAAGAACAAAGAGGGTGAAGTTTCCTACCGCTCTCGGCGAGGGCAGCAGCCACTTCATTAAGAGTAGAGTAGATGTTGCACGCAGCCCATCGGCACTGCGCGCCCAGTGCGCCAAGAGTCTCCATTAGGACCTGGATTTAAAAAAAAAAAATCAGAAAGAGCAACGCAAAGAGCAATATACAACGCAAAGAGCAATATACAACGCAAAGAGCAATATACACCTGGGGGTTTATTTGCTATTTATGAGAAAGCTTCTGAGGTATCTGAAGTTGGTTTTAAGCAGCATTAGGGTCGTTGGGGAGCTGCACAGAAAACAATTTTGCAATTACTGGGGTTTTTTTACAATTTAAAATGGAGAAGTAAATGAGAACTTCAAAGTATATTCTATATACAGCATATATATATATGTGGGGGGGGTGTGGGTGTATATAAATATATATAGATGCAGATTTCACTCAGTAAAGTCCCAAATCTAGTCAGGAGAAAGCACTCCTGTCCCATGTTTGGAGGAGAAATCACAGCTCTTGAACTGCGGAACTGCACTGATCCCTGAGCACCACGTCTTCCTGCTTACACCACGCAGATAATTCGATTTCCTTAGTTATCGCTACTCAAGCAATGCCCTCTAGATCCATGCATCACATCACCTTGAAGCACAGGTTCTGTTTATCTAGAAATGTTCACAAAATCGACCATTCTTGGTGTAAGGCGCTGGACTCAGAGACTGTATCTCTGTATTAACTGCTCGGGGTCTGTTTTAGAGGTTAAGCGGTGGAAAATCCCTGTCTAGAGTTTATCGACAGGGTCTTACAGCTGTTTGTGCCGTAATGTGCGTGCAGCCCACGATCTTGGCCCCGGCCAGCGGCTTCTCTCCCTGAGCTCTCTTCCTCAAAGCCATCAGCGCAGGCATTTCTGAAAGGCAAAATAAAAAAGAAGTCCGTTGATGTGATGGGAAGAGGGATGAGCACGTAAGGAACAGCCAGCATCGCTTCTTGCCCTGCTAGCTGGTACTCCTATGACTTTGTACAGCTGTGGCACCTTCAAAAAAAGCAAAAACCTTGAGAGCAGGAGGTCCCAAAAGTCATGGCAGAGCTGAAAAGAACCCAATAACCCTCTGAAGTTTTTTTTTCCCTACTATTTAGGATGTAGCATCATCACATTTTCAAATTTCTGTGAATGCCCAGGTGAGGCTGGAGGAAAATCTGCTTCAGGCTGAGGAGGACTTGGGACTCGCTGCTCTGCTCAGCCTCTCCAACATCCCTCCATCTACCTAAACACCACATTGCCTTCGCTATGGATTTTTGGAGATGATCATGCTAAACCAAAATTGTCTAATTTATTTGATAGATTTCAATCTTTTCTACTGATTTTAACAAAAGCATTCGACTATAGAGTAGTCCTTCAGTAGTTGGTTGGTTGGAGCTACACGGCATAACCCTGTAACTCTTCTCCATCCCACAAAACCCCGTAAAAGTTTTCCCGTCTCTAACAGGAACGGCGTCAAGAAATCACCAATATAATGAACCTCGCGAGAAGAGGATTTGGGGTGGGGGGAGGAAGAACCCCACAAGACAGCCTAGGACAACGTGGAGCTTGAGGAACCTGCCCCATTTACCTTGTTCAGCAATTTCAATCTCTCGACGCCCAAATTCTGCCTGCTTTATGTTTTTCACACAGAAATCGCTGCTGCCTTTGGAATTCTTCTGCTGCTTGTCTCGGGGGGAGGTCTCATCGTCAGAGCTGTCTGTGTAGGAGGCAGCTGGAGGAAGAAAAGGAGGTCAGAGACAGCACAAAATATTCCCTAAAGCCAAACCACCTGCAGCGGAAGGGCGCAGATGATCTGCTGAACGTGCCCACGGATGTGCTTCTCCATGTGCACGTGCCAACTCCCGCTGTCCTCAGCTGGCATCTCCTCTTCTCCTTACAACGAACATTTCCCCACAGTCAGCTTTTACCTGCGGCGACCTCCTCACTCTCATCTACCTCCACAGCAACACCGCACCGGAGCTAATTAGCTCCAGCACTGCCCGTGTCCCCCATGGGCTCATCTCCTCACGCCTTGCAGCTCCTCTGTGGCCTTCTCCCATCTCTCTTCCCAAATGTGAAGCCTTTACAGCTCTCAGATAGCCAACAAAAATGCCTATTAATGTTTTGCGCACTTCCAAAACATTAAGAGTTGTAATTTAAGACAGGATAGATACAAGACCCTATTTCATTTTAAACAACGGCATGGCAGAGGCCGCAAGTTGTCATTATTCAGCTGTGGTGGTATTCCCAGTCCTTGGATTTGCTCGACTTCAACGCTCTTCAGCAAGGGCAATGGCCACAAGTTGCTGCTTCGGAGCCTCACGTGGGATGGTAGAAAGAAACTTCTTCATCAGGAGGATAACGCAACATTGGCACAGGCTGCCCGGAGAGGTGGTGGCTCTCCATCCTTGAAGGACTTCAGGAACTGGTTAGAGAGAGCCATGGCTAACCCGACTGTGCTGGCAACGTCCTTCTCTGAGTGGGCAGGGGGACAAGGTGACCTCGGTGGCTCCTTCCAACCAACGTATCTGTACATCTACAGACAGCTCAATCCAGCCCTTGGATTTTTTTCCTTCTTTTGTATTATAAATAACAAACACTTGGAGATGTATTTAATATTTTGCCTGTCTGGATCTTCTTTAACCCCTCTTCCCTCTTGCTCTTTTAGTAAGAGAAGAGGAAGAAAGATGGCATCACTTCTCCCGCTGGTAAGGAGCCTACAGGGGATAACGAACACACGGTCTCACAGAATCAGATCATGCTTCTTGTTTAAGATGGTATACGGACACCGGGCGGGGAGGTGCATGTGAACACAGAATTAATTACAGTTGCTGCCAATAACTGTCTTCCTTTCCTATCAATGATGTCCTCCAAATTTTTGATTAGGCAACTAGTCTATGGCAGACACATGGAGATTTACTGAACAGCCCTTCATGGAGTTAGAAATCCCCCTCCCCACTTATTTTGATTACTAAAATCACACGTAGAGTTCATTTTCGATTTGAGCCGCGATGAATTAGCCGCCACTTCTGCTTCCACCTTATCAGGATCAGCTGAAGAGACTGTTTGTGCCACCTTTGGCCCCACGAGACCTCTTTCCTTTCATCTTCTAGCAAAGGCCATGAGGGAGACCAGACCTCTTTCATCTTTTCAGCAAAGCAACACGTAAGGCTTGGAGATGAATGAGAAAGCATCACTCCTCTTGCCTTTCCAGAGACAAAGCACCTGGAGCACAGGCCTCTTGGTCCAGCTGAGCTCCTTGCCACCACCATCACCACTACCACCACATCCTTCTCTCCCTCCTCTCTGGCAGGAGCCACACCTTGGGACCAAACTCAAGAGCCTCATCCACATGGTCATCCCCCGTTCCTCATGAAATCGCCCTGAAGTTTTACCCCAAGTCTTTACTCTCCAGTTCATGTGGTACTTCTAAAATGAACGAGAGACCTGGCATCAAATTATTTGTTACAGCAGAAGAGGACCACCTTTGCAGAACAGCACTATCCATGACAGCCTCAGCGGAGTTGGCCAATATTAAGCACTACTAGCAAATGATGTGCATGTGTGAAGGCATCACAGACGATGACGAGCTCTCCTTCTTTCACGACACCAGAAAAGAATTGGTTAAATCTTTACCTAGGAAATGTTGTGTAGTCAAATTCAGCAGCTACTGGCTTTGGGTGATGTGTTGCTACGCACGTGAGCGAGCTTTTCTCCCAGGCACAGTCTCCGAAAGGGAATGATCTACACCAAAAACCCGAGGGAGCTGTTGTACCCAACAGTCAGGACAGGTTCCCAACCTTGTACCCCAGTTCTGTGCCAAAGGAATTCGGTAGCACGAAGGGCGAGCGCTTCTTACGCAGTGTCACAGGAAGAACGGCGTGGCTGAACCCATGGTCTAATCACCACCCACTAGTGCTCCCACAGAGCTGCAGCTTTCCAGAGGCATCCAGACCTCAAGTGAAGATTGATACCGAGAGCCCCTTCGGAGCACTTGGAGTAAAGACAAACCACCCCTCCGCCCAGCATTTCAATAGCTCTGTTAACATTTTCACCAGAAAACCCAAACCCAGGGGTTAAACCCTTCCGCCCCAGCACGGCCATGGGTTTGTCTTTCCTGCAGCACCCAGCAAGCTGATTACTTTCTCTTCTGGCTCGCGTGAAGCGCTTGAATGATCCCAAGGAAAAAAAGCTTAGCGCTGCCGCTGTCGGCGTGCCAGGCTCCCCGAGACCCGCTCGGATCTTAATCGGCTTACGGAGGAGAATTATGCATTGCTGAAATTTCTCTGCGAAGGTTCCATCCTCCGCGGGGTGCGAAAGGCAAGTCCGACCCTGCAAACAACACGCTGATGGCAATATATTTCTGAATTTGTGCGCACGATCCCACAGCGGCTGCTGAAGGACCGGGAGCCTGGCTTAATAACAAAAGAGCGCCTTGTATAATACCAAGCTCTTGTATATCAAGGACTCCAGAAGGATTAATTAGTTCGAGGAGGATTATTTCCTTGAAGACAGCTAATCTGTGCAGAGGTTTCCTTAAAACCATAGATCTTGGTTCTGGGGGCTGAAAAGTAATTTTTTTTTAAAAACAAAAAACCCCACCTAGATGGTAGCCGGTTTTTCATGTGCAGATGGTTCTTTACTGTTGCATACATATAACATATAGCAGGGCATATGGTATGATGGTAATTAAACTGATATTGTTAGTGTAGGAAAATAGCGTACTAATATGTAATAGTAAATTTTGCCCTTGCTTTCCTGTAAAATGAAAAACAAGTACAGAAAGGAAAGGATTCCTAGCACCTGTAATCTAGAAATAGCCAATTAACTGATGGGATAGATAGTCTCCTAAACATCATCTCAAGACATCCAGAAGTTGATTAATGAAAGCTTCATTACTGGGCTTGGCATTCCATAGAGCCACCTACTATTTTAATATAAATGGCCTTATTTCAAGGAGAACGACATGAAAACCGCATCAGATCTCGGGCATTGTTATCCGGTGGAAAAATGCTGGGGGGAAAGGAGACACCTCCAGCTCGTATCCTAACCCAGCAAAATCCAGGTCAGAGCCTAACCTAGCAAAGACCAGGTCAGAGCCTAAATCCAGCAAGGTTTAGCTTTGCTAATATTTTAGATGAAGATCCACTCGCATCTGCAGTATTGGCATTGGTACGGGCAAAAAAAAGGGCAACCTGCTCCGTTTCTTTTCTGTACAACCTTTCGAAAGTTATGAAACAGCATGAGGATGAAGTCAATCGCCTTTAATTAAAGATATTACTGTTCTAATCTCGTTTCAGCGCCCACATAACGCGTGTGCGGTGCGTAATACACAACGCTGAGCGCTTTACTATTCAAAGCGCTGGGTTGATATAAACCCCAAAATCTTTGTTCGAGCAGATAACAATTATCCAAGTTTTGCAGAAAGGGAAAGAACAGTTACCAAAATTTAAGCCATTTGCCCAGTGCCAACGCCAAAACGTCCCCTCAACTCCAAAGCCGAGCTGTCAGGTCGGTGCCTTTCCCTGGTTTGCAACAGCAGATGCTGTTAAACGCCACGGCGCATCCTTGGGCGCGTAAACCACTCCCAAACGGCGTAGAAAACAATTAATTTCCCCGGTGAGAAAAATTACTCGTTTTAAATTAAACAGAACAATTACAGAAAATTGGCGGCTTATGGCAAATTATGACTTTTACTTCTAATTTGAAAAGTCAGGCACAGATTGTTAAGTATTTTCTTTCTTAGTACTTTACAGTAACCTAGCGATAAAGTTTTCATGTTCAACAACGTCTGCTGGTTTTTCACAGAATCCCAGACTGGTTTGGGTTGGAAGGGACCTTAAAGTCCATCTAGTCCCAACCCCCTGCCATGGGCCGGGACCACCTC